TCAATTTGCAATCAGTTTCAGCATATGCTTCTGACTTTTGAAGAATGGAATTTGACACTATAAAAGCTGTTATTTGTTAAGATGGATATATATTTCCGCATTTTATTCTCCAACAATCAACGTATTTTGCTGTTTTACTTTCTTATTAGACATACCCTGATTGCTTTACCCTAAATCAGAACAGATACTTGACAAGAAGATTTGCAACCATCGCTGAAAGCTTAGTAGGCAATCAAGATACTGCTGCATCTGTTATGTTGTTTTGAGTGATAACGTACAATTTTTTTTGGGGGGCTATGCGAACAAACTGTTACTTTGCTTTCTCTCTGTTCTCCCCATCCCGTTCCAATAAGATTAGTCAGCTTTTCAGATGATTTTTACGCCCTTCAATCTTGCGGTAACTTCTTGAACGGTACTTCCCTGTTAGTTTTACAATCCCAATTATTTTAACTGACGACAAAATAAGATTTTTTTTCACTCAACCACCAAGTTTATCTACTTTTAACAAATTTTACAGTGTGACGTACTGTTACAGTAGTAATTGTTAAGGCTAACTTAATAGAAATTTTAGTTCAAAAGTTTTTGAAGGTAATTATAATACTGAAACAAATTATTGTGTTGAATTTGTAATTTTAACTGTTCTTAAATCATTTTGCAATGATTAATAAGCACAGAAATGATTTTAGCGACAATTTTTACATTTGAGTTCCAACCTAGAAGCAATTGTCTGGCAATCATTAATTATGAATTTTGAATTGTTTATGATTATTTCTTGGTATTATTATTAATGTCTTTGAAAAGTTTTTTTTTGAGAATATTTTGGAAGAGAAAAGAACTTAATTTAAATTTTAATTTTGTCTAGACTGGAAAAATTATAACTTCTTATAATTAAGGCTTTTAGCGACTAATGATCATTTTAGTAAAATTTTAAGTTTTGTTAAAGATCAGTGAAGTAATACGTGAAAGACAAAAGTAGTTTATCTTGGATGTTGCACCTGTGGATTTTTTACATCTAAAAACATTTGCATTGTCCATTTTTGTTCCAACTTTTTTTCATAAAAACCAAAATCATTAAAACAGGCTGCAAACAAACAGTCAGCAGAGCATAAACTTATTTTGACATTTTATTATTGTCTACAATAAGTTCTATTTAGACATTGGGTACTGATTACTGCATATCCATACTGATAAAAGAGTTTAATTAAACGTGCCAAATCTGAAAAATGCTTTCTTTGTATTTGTTCCTGTGCTGAAAATTTTGAAATTCCATTGTCTCTGATCGTTTTGAAGTCCTTTTTGACACCGTATACACCGAAGAATAATATTTTCAGTCATTTAGTGGTATTGGAACTGATCCATTTTGATCACAGCTACAAGACAACAAAAGATCGTCCGTCGCTTAACAGTCTTTTAAGATGTTGCTGGGGAAAATTGTGTCAGTTTAATGGCGCAGGGAGTTTCGTTTCAACTCGTGCTGGGAGGGCAGTTGGTTCGGTACGCAGCGAATGATGAGTTGCATTCACCGAATGAATCACATGTGGGTGGGCTTTTTAACTCTGACGTCTGCAACTACACTTTTCGACACTGGCTTTTTCGGCAGCATCCCACCAGGGCACCAGAGGTGCTTGCTGCATTTCCTTCTGCTGCTGCTGCGAATTTTTCCAAGTTGTGCAGTTTCCTAAAGCAAAAACATTCCATAAACTTACCGCTTTAATTCCTAACTTTTGCTTAGCAGCGATTATGCATTTCGACGTTGCAAGACTGTTCACTTATGTTTCCTTAATATTTATCAGATTGAGCAGTTACAGTAGTGTCGTCAAGTTTTTTTGTTGTCTTTGTAAGATATGTTTGTCACAGCGGACGTGAATTCAGTCGCTGATTTGAGCTTTAATTGGTTTTATGGACTCTGGAATGAAACACAGTGTTACAAAGAATGAGTAATTTTTGAGACCCGGTCAGCGTGTAGCAAAAAAGTTTTTTTTATTTTCTTTTGCTTTCTTAAAGTCTTGCAAGAAATTAAGCAGCTAAGACTGAAAGTATTGGTGTCAGCTAATAGGGTGCCAGAAGTAAAATAGTAACTGCTTATTCAATGACAGTAGTGTTCTTTTATTGAGCATACGGTTGGATATTACCAGAGCGCCTATAAAGGCACATCGCAGTCTAAAGTTTCCTTTAGTGGGGTTTTCAGCATTTACCATCTGTTCGCTAATTGGCTTGTGAAAATTTATATCCTTGACTCCTGAAACGATTACTTGCTTTGGCATGATAAGTGTCAAATACAGCGGGCAAAGCCAACTACGGACTGAAAGCAGCTTTGCCCTTACGCGCTCTGTATAAGAGCTTTTAACCGGTTGCTTAGAGTATTTTTTTTTTTTT